ATGGGTCTATGTCTTTATACGTACGCATGTGCCACTCAAAAAGACAATCAAAGAATATTGAGTTCGAATAGTACTGAATAACTATTGCTTAATGGAGAAGAAACAAAAAGTAGCATACGAGGTGAGGAATCCAGAAGCGTTAGTTTCACCTTAAAACACGTGATCTTAAGACAAGACCGTATTTATTTCCCCCTGTAATTCGCGAAGCTTCCTGATTTTTGTTTTCTGGCGTGATATATCCCCAGTTCTTAACCAAGTCAGCCGAGTCCAGCCAACGAATTGGATACCAGCACTGCGTAATCCGAACTGCGCCAATTCCACCTAGAAGACAAGGCCTGGTCATTACGTCATTAGAAAGTTTTAAAATAGGGAAGGGGGGGGGGGGGGGGGGCAGCGCTTTGCGTCCCACAAGCAGCTTATGGCGTCACTCTGCGCAATCGCAGAAGCTCTTCATGCGCATGCGGAGTGCACCGTTCAAAGCTGCTCGGGGGCGCGTTGGGGCCCCCTATTCTAAAACCCTCTATTGTTGGCGGATCCACTCTAACGCATGTGTTGCTTTGAAACAAAGCCAAAACGGAAGTACACTAGACTTCTCTTGGTGCCGGAGAACTTGCGACAGCTGTCACTCATGAGGCCTGGCGAGCAGTAAAAAAAGCACAAATGCTGAAAACGGTTTAGTTTTATTTAGACCCTTTAAGTACATCCATTTCTGACAGGACAATAGCGCGCTTTAAGTTAATTAAAAACGCAATAGCCTCCTATTCTTCCCACAATCATAAAAACGCTAATTACAGAAGCGTTGGAATCGCTCTGTCTGCCTAAATGCGACATTAAACGGTTTTCTACTTACGCCAAATGCTACTCAGAATCACTCCCTAACGTTAATAACCGAATAAACTTGCCTTAGTTTTTCTTTTTAAGCAGTGCCAGTCGGCGAGTAAATTCGTGATATAAGCATCGTTCAAGCAGCCACGTGGCCTGGTGTTTATCTCATGACGCCAACGTTAATCGTAGCCACGCGCTGGGGTCGGCAACGTAGAAAACGTGTGCTCAGCTCCAGGCTATTCTCATCGCCCCAGAGGTTGGACACGAGCCACTACCCGAGTTTCCGCCGAGGCATTCATTGTTACGAGCCGAAGTCGAGTGCTCACGCAGTTTTCGTATCCAATCCATGAGCCGCGCTCGACTGTAGCCAGGTGGGTGGTTTAGATCCCATTATTCCGTCATCAAGCTTTGCTAAGGTGAAACTGAAAGACAAAGCCCTCTTTTATCCTCGCAATTTCACCACGACAAAGAAGCTTGTGAATCAGTGGCGGTCCGTGCGAGTATACTGGGCCAGACTAGGACGAGTACGCTTTTGCAAAGTCAGGAACATTCCAACCCGATATCGTGTCATGACCCCTTTAACGTGCATCATGGAGTGGTGATTACGAATGCGTAAGCTGACGCAACGCGGTACCGAGGCGCCGCACAATGTATGAGTCGTGGCGAGCTTCGAACTAACGTACACGGCAAGTACACGACACTTAATTAACCACTTGAAGAAAAAGAAATCGCACAGCGTTATAGACATAAATCATATCGTACATTCCCCACATTGTTCCCTTACCGCTGAGACATGCTAACCCCCCGCTCTGTTCAAACGCCCAGGAAAGAAATTTGACCATAAAAACCAACATATCTCGATACAAAACGCGACATAAAGCCCTTAAAAATAAAACGGTCGACGAAACGAATTAATCAGACTGAAAACAGAAGAATTACACAATAGAGCGTCTTTTTATAGATTTATAATACAAAGTCTTCGTGACGAAGATACGACTCAAGTTTCTTGTCCCGTTATGCCTTGTAAAAACTGCAACAAAAACGGTGCACTTTTTTTTTTTTTTTTTTCTGGCTGACGACAGAGCTTGGTCCGTCGCACTTGACGTTACTCTAAACGCTTCAACGACGGAGACGCACTTTCGCAAGACTCACTCCCCTGTACAGACGTTCGCAGCAGCTGTCACGGCCTTGCCGTAAAAACCTTCTCGAATTGGATAGCGCACGACTTCTCTTGGGTAATTTATACGTTTCGCCGAAGCGTCGCAGCATCAGCCCGTCCGTGTTTGTTTATGGGCGACAGCTTGTTGCAGCCGACTCTGTCTTTTCCAACACGGTGGATTTAGAAAGTAAAATTACCACGACTTGAGAAGAGAAAATTACTTTGCTCAGTTTTCTAGTCAGAGTAATTTCCATCTTGCTATATAGTGCGTCGCTGTTCGCCGCCACGGAGTGAATATATATGTTCTTTACATGTTTACGGATAAATTCCTTATATAAAAGTTAACGCAATTTGAAGTTAATCCGCATTTAAATATAATCTTGCGTTCCCGCTGATGAGAACAATTTTAATAATCCAAGTAACGGGATGGAGTTATTTCACGCACATCCCATAGTATAGTGATTACACAGAACTTCCCCACGTGACAGAGCTGACGCAAACACTACAACTGTGTTTTTTGGCAACTTACTTAAGCAGAGCACTGGGGGACACTGAATTTTACCGCTTAGGCAGACACCCATAAAGAACTGTTTTCACTACAACAGTATCCTTGATCATGACCCCTTCTATTTTACGAAATAAACAGGAAGCACCTACGCTCACTTGTTGGCACTAACAGTGTTTCGGAGCGCACGGGAGAACAACACCTGTTTAAAGCAGAATCGCTATAGTCACCGGCACGTTAAGAAACACAAGGTGTGTCGAGTCTCCGAGCATTGCATTCTCGCTCCTGGGCCAATGAGATATTGGTATTAGCAGACAAGAATTAACACTAAATATCGAATCATAAAGAAAAAAATATTGTGAACGCACTAAACAGAGCTTCGCGTTATATCATGCCCTAAATATCCACACATGGGTGTGTCTACAAAATCTGTAGTCAAAATAATCATTTTATTTCGACAAAAACGAATTTTGAAGTTTGCGCGCACACCTCGCAATCGCTGGCTGCCGCTCTACTGACAACAACGAGCAGGAGCGCTCGTGACGACAAAGGTTGTGTCCGAGAGCAGATGACGCTCCCTCCTCCACGGCGTTGTGCGTTCTAGTGATCTTGAGCGTCTGTGGTGTCGCGGAATTCGTCTGGTTTAGGATATTTTTGGCTTGCGATGGAGGGTGGGGAAAAATTGGTGACGTGCTGTGGGACTCGATACAACCCCGGGAAAATGTAGCAGAGTGACGCCTGACCGGTTTCCGATCCAGAGGTCTCTGCGACGGAAGTGAGTTTGAGCAGTCTGACACGAACGTTGGCTCCCAATGTTCACGTCGTGCGTTTAAACGTTCGAAAGGTTCAAAATGACGCCGGAGGTCAATTTTAAGCTCTATCAAAATATACGAGCAAAGCGACCAGGGCGATATTTTGGTCTGCCGTTAAAGATATTAAATGGCACGCTGCCGATCGTACATGGATTCCCACAATTGGATGATTCATTCTAAAATCCACAGCATGCTCTCCCTTCAAAACTCACATAAAAGACAATGTGATTTTATTTTTTTATTGAGGGTGGAGACTGCTAACCACGATAGAAAACGCAAGAATCCAAGCTGTTGACGAAGCTAATAATGTAGCTAATCTAAAAACAAAATGCTACGAGGACAAGGGCAATGAATAAGCGAAAGTGAAACGTACATGCCCTGTCGTTCCGCACATTGCATTTTTGTTTTGTCTGATCGTGTTCTCTGGAATGCTGGTATTGCTCGCCGCAATTTGTTGTTTCGTTTTCTACAGGAAAGAAAACCCTCATAATTTTTGTTTTTTATTTTAAAAGGCAGCTCTTATCTCGAGTGAAAAAGACGTGGGATCCAATAAACTCTACGAAGCAATGTAGTATTTCCACAAGGTACCGACAAACACCCTGGCGAGACATTTTTTTTTTCATCTTGTGTTTTAAATTTAGGACTTGCTTAGTTTGCTCGGAAAACGTGAGTGGCTGAAATGCCACTTCACGTTTGACGTTTATTGTGTTCGGTCGACTCAGTGCGGCTTCGTGAAGATTAAACTCGGCGCTCGAAACCTACTCGACGTCGTACCATAAGCAGCGATTCTACTGCAAAAATGTAATGGCTTGAACTTGAGCACATAGCCCTATTGCATGAAGGCCGAACGAGAGTGCAATGGCAGAATCTGCGCTTCAAGATTGCAGACATTTCTCCGAGTTTGAATTATTTCATTGTTGATCTAAATATTAACTTTTGCTTTATGTGTGTATATGTGCGGTTGCGTGTTTTGTAACACATCTTTAGGTTTTACCAGCACTCTTGAATCCGCCAGAATTTTTACTTTAGAGTTCCAGGGGTTTCAATAACCGTTTCAATCGTCCAGCTTACGATTTTGCCGAGTTTTCTTCGGGAGAAGTTGAGAAAGCCCCTCCTCGGATTTGTTCGCAAAAAGGTTTCAAAGCAAGTGTATTTAGGAGTCTATAAAGTATAGAAACTAACAACAAAAACAAAAGGAACGAAGTATTCAGTAGAATGAAATATAAAAAAAACACAGTGACTGAGGAAAAGACGAAGATTTTCTTCTCAAAAAGAGGCTTTAGCGTCTGCGGCTTTAGCAATATCAGTTGCAGTTTATTTACTTTTTTATATTAAGGCAAGGAGTCAGAGGACCTGATCAGAATTATAAAGAAGATTTGACGTGGCGAGACTTCGATCTGATTTTCGGATGTCCTTTATTACGATTTGAGCGCCAGAGTTTTGCGAACGACCGATGGATTGCGATGGTCATAGTTTGCGGAGAAAGTGCGTGTTGAATTGATCAGTCTGCCATCTTATGTTTCGCCTTTTAATTTTTGTCTGAGTTTTGATAATCTCGGCAATGAAGAAACTCTGAAGACATGATATAAATATTGTTACGTATAAACGTTTGAAACTTTAACGCGATTATAACATTGTACGCGCTACTGAGTTCACAAGGTTGCGCAGTCACTGCAATGAGTTTTGTTCTCTTTTACAGCGCATCCTACCAGGTGGGCCCATCCTGAAAACGAACTGATACCACGGATACGCTCTACAAGGTACATGGCACACTTTTACTATCTGTGTTTTTCTCCGTGTTGTTACAAAAAAACAGCCATGCGCCTCATAAAATAAATAAAAGAGACTTGATCGCTTTATATCATGCTGCTCCATTAACTGGTGCGACGTACTGGCAGCACATGTTAGTGTGAATCACTCTCAAAACCCGGATGATCTATAGAACACCCTGTAAAGTTTTCAGGGTCCGTTCATGCATAATCAGGAAAGATCATATGCAGGAGCACACTGTATCTAGCGCTGAACTTTTTACGTAGAATAATATGTGTTGTATATATATATCGGCGTCGGCTCACCTTATCCGTCATAAAAAAAAAGTGAACGAACTCATATTTGAATTCCAACCCTAAGTTGTTTCAGATGCGACACCCGACGGCGGGATAGGGAGTATTCACTGGCGGTCATAGCTGAGCTCGCTGCTGCTTTCTTACCACCGGGAAAGAGAGAGAGCGGAACGATGCTTTTGTAAGGGTTTTGAGTGGCAAGGTAATCTTCAATAATCTCCTAGAGGGAGAATAGCGACGTCTGGGGAAGCCTGGGCCCTACAAAGGAGAGTCCCGGTGATAAGAGGATTTCACCTTCCCTCTTCTCGAGCGGTTGCCCGAGAGCTGATGGGAAACTCTTCCCGGGCATGCGCTGTGAGCAGTAACCTCAAATATGGCGTCCACTGAATACCTCTTATAGGAAGTACCGTTCCGCATAACGAGAAATGCTGTCCTCTTAATTTCGCATACCGTTGCAGTGTTTTACGGAGATAGCAGTTAGCGGCAGACTTGGCGGGTTTCGCGCCGTCGTCCGTGCTCCATATCGACGCGGGCCATTTTCGGCACTCCGCCAAAAGATTCCACATTGACGTCACGCCGCTGACGACAGGCCGCGCACCACATTACCTGTTGCCTGGCCTCAGCTGACAGCATGACTTGACGTTGTCATGTCAAGACACATTGCATAGTAACGCCACGCGACTTCATAACGTCAAGTGACACCGCGAGTCACGTGATGTCGTGACGTCATCTTGCGACGCCACGTAGACACCGAAACATGAGACTGCTGATAATTTAGATGATCAAAAGAAAGCTTTTTCTCTAATTATGCCAGGAAGGTTCTCGGGCGGTAAAGCCAATAAAGCTAGGTGGGTGTTATGCAGGCGAAACCACGGGCGTGAAATTATATGGAGCTACACGCTTAAAACTTGAGTGCGCGATTTTTCAAGTGTTCTGCAGTGATCAAAGGCGGCGTTAGTTTGTGTCCAATAACATTCCATAAGACATTCAAGCAGCCACGTCAACGTCAGGGAATGGTTCATCCATACACATGCAGTTTCGTCATTCCCTGAATTTCAAACTTGAGGGCGCGATTTTTGAAGTGTTCTTCAGTTACCACAAGGAAATCCTAGTTTGGGTCTAAGAAAGTTGTTTAGCAAGTAGACGAAATTATTTCTGCTTAATGCACCTTGACTGGTTCCAAAACGCTACGGAACTTTCGTCCGGTGTGTTACTCGGCTTAACACGAAAACGCCTATGCGTACTCTATGGTGCGCGTGCGCACCTTTGCCGTTCATTCAGTTCATCTGCTTTGAAATGACAACATAGCGTCTCCGACGTCACAGCTCGGCTGTCCCTGCGTTGGAAGTTGCAATTTTAGTTCTGGTACCATACTGAGAGTTCCCCTAAGTAGCTGCGGTAAATGTTCGGAAAATAAATATTATTCCAAAATCAGAAAAAGAACCAGCTTTCAGTGCGTATCCATTTAATGTAGGTGTAGCTGAAACATCGGCGGAGCTCCCCTCTCTCCCCGTTAAACTCGCCCTAGAGGTAGGCCAGTGTTTCAAAATGCACGGAGCCCGGCGCTTGGAGTTTTGAGGAACCACCCTAATGTGAACCCTCCCTGCATCTCCGCAATCGGTGTTTGGGGCCAAATTTTGATTTGGAGTCGGGCGAGTGTACACTTAGATGGTCCTGGCTTAAAAGCACATTGCAAGACATTGCAAGCTAAACCCTGGCTGCAGTGATGGAAGGGGCATTTTACATTTTGGACCAGGTTTTGGAGCAGGCAAAATATTGGCTTGGAGCAGCTACTGACGCTCTTGGGGCACATCAGTTGAAATTAAAGATAAAAAAAAGCAATTGCATCGCTTAACGGTCTCATCTTTGATAATGACTGGGGCACCTCTATGATACTGGGGTATATTATTTATTACCTTATGTAACAGGAATAGAAACAGCGCAAAAGGAGCATAGATATTTCTTTTTAGAAATACGGCTCTGGTGAGAGTAGGTTTCATATACAATAAACATTTAAAAAGAATGGCGGAGAATTAATCATAGCGCAACATTTCAGTGGGAATACGGCCTCACTCCCCTCCACATTTTATACTCAGAAGTTTATTTAGCCCGTAAATAAAATTTCTGAAAAATCCCAGCAAACTCCAGCATATCCGCTAACACGTCTATAAATAAAAATTCATACCCCAAGATTTATAAACCTACCAAACTCAAGGTTTTAATATCATAACCTTTAAAAGCAACCACCCCCAAATATTATCAGAACCTGCACTTGTGCTTTAAATGTGACACTGCTCTTTAGCGCGTTGGAACCAGAGTAAATTCAAAGTTCGCTCCTCTTTCGAGCGACCTCAGCACGGGAGCTGCCTTCACTACCATAATTTTCAAATATAAACCCGCGTTTCTTCTTCTTTTTTTTTTTTTATATACGGCACAGATTGTTAAATTCCTCGGTGAACTTACAACCAAGACTAAAGAGAGTAGACCTGTAGTACTGTGCATAACTCCGAGCCTATCGAGCTAACCCAGGTTATCCCTCATGTCAGCCGCTGCTCCTAGCACTCCGGGGCGAAGCGGGGAAGCTCGACGCGCGTACTCTAGTGAGTGGCGGGGAAGGTTAACGCGAGCGGCGCAAGTGCATCACTACTATGTAGCCACGGCACGGAGGCATGTGGAACACGCGAGAATCAAGTGATCTCGTCAGGAGTACAATTAAGACCATAATTTTGCCTTATCACATTTTCCGCCATGCAATTGCGTCACTTCTAGCTTCCGACATTACCGACACCGTCTGGAAATTTAGATGATGTCGGCGATCAACCAGGCAGTGCATCAACCGGCCAGCGCAGCTGACGAAAAATCTTCGTTTCCTTATCAGTCAAAGCGCAGCCGACGCTATGAGCCAGTAGGACCAAACTGCGCCAAAGCGCGATATCATGGCGTCCATCACCTTCCTATACACGAACTCATCTCTGTTACGTCACGGCGCGGTGGTGGCGCGTCGGACGCACTTCCGGTCCGGGGCTGTGGGTGGAAGTGCCCATCTGAGACGTGTATTCCTGCGTTGTTTTGAAAGGAACCAGACAAAAACCTGCCTTCTTGTCAAAATGCTGCGACTGGCACTGTACCAAAAGGGTCGAGAAAGGTTTGAAGGTCAGTTTTCATGCGCTCGGTTCGTCCGAGAACATGGATATGTGCCGTGAAAAGGGAAAACCAGACGCCGTCGGACCACAATTGCTTGGGCGGGAAGCATTTTGGGTTGAATTCGCGGATAGTTCTGGCCATCACATTTATTTGTTTTGTTCCAAAATGAACGCCGGAAAACCGTCAAGTTGTACGGACCACATGCTAACTACGTTCAGTGCGTCTTCAAGTTCAAACGGTCGCCTGATCGTTCGAACTGTCGTCTGCTCTTTAAAACGTTTCTGCTTGTCGTCTGCTCTTTTAGAGGACACCGGCCCGTAGACCAAACGTGGGCCCGGTACTTGCGATAAGAAGTGCAGGCCTCAAAAGACTTAAGTTTAAAGGTTTGTAAGCAGGCTCGACCTTAACAGTAGATACAAGGAGATGGTTGATCATTGTTACCAGTGGCTATCACCGACTTGTTATGCCTGATTCACTTGGTTAGATTCTGCTTGCGATTTTCAGTATCGACGTCGACCATCTCGGTTCACGCTTTTGCAATCTGAGCGACGTCGCTACTGAAAATTGCGAGCGAAATCTCATCATGTGGATCAGGCTTTAGCGTACATTCTGCGGCGTCCACGCGGAATGAATCGCCGCATGTCAGATTATTCACGCGAAGTTTTGCGGTGTAACGAGCCTCGTTAATTTCGCTGACGCCGCTCAAGTAGTCAGACATCGCTAGGAGGACGTAGAATCAACAATTCTAATGCAAAAAAGAGCGCGGGGACTCACACCGACGCCGACAACATCGCATTTCAATGGTTTGCTTATGGGCGACGGCGAGCTTCTTGCCCACACCCCAATCGCGCATGCGCAGCGCCAGTGGCGTCCGCTAGGGGCGCTCCGGGCGCTCCGGTTTGTTTGTAAACATGAGTTGGTGTATACATGTCCATTTATCGGCTGGACCAATCAAGTGCAGCGAATGTCCCCCGACGTTTGTTGTAGCAGGTGTGTTCCTGGTTGTACGTGTTCGAGCCCTCAACTGTGCTCTGACTTAAGATCAAACTATACTGAAAGTAGAAACGCCGTGAAGCGCATTTTTGTATCATTTTCCTTTTCTGCTACTTCCCTGAATATTGGGGTCGACCAGTAACTATTTGTTTTTGCTTTGATGAAGCCTGTTCGGCGCAGAATTGGCGCAGTTTTAGCAAGAATGGCCTTTTGGAGCTAGATGTATCATACTTTCGTTCATGGTTCAATTTGGTGCGAATGGTGCAGCACTTCCATCAGTGCATCTGTTACCAGTGGCACGCTGGCCGTTGCCTGATGTACATAGCTCCTGATATACTGGCACTGACAGGATGAAAAGAGCAACGTGTCTCTTTCCGATGCTCAGCCTCCAGAACACGTTAGTTACCTTCCGTCGTGATAGCGTCCTTGATTACCCCACTGGTCACGAAACTTCCCCGTAATGCTAAGGGAAAGCTTCGCTCGCGACCACGCCCGGCGCGAGCGTCGACAAGGGAGCTGAGAGTTTCTAAGAAACATTTATGTTCACACCAGCGCGAGTT